CAAAACCTAAAAAATCATTTTTTCAACTTAGGGTTAGTCATATTCAACAATATCCCAATACTCGTTCTAAGACTAATTCTAACCAATCAAGAGTTCCTCTGACTAAATTTTCTAAATCTATAGGATGCTAAACTAAACTAATAATAATAATAATTATCTTGGAATAGTAATATTTTTGAAAAGAAATAAATATAATAATGCTTTATGCTTTTAATTTATTTATTAATTTTAAATCTTGTTTTACAGCATATAAATAAAGATTATAAAAAATTTTTTAACTTCCTGATTTTCTTTTTTTGCTAGAAAATCTATCTAAAGCTGTTCTAGCACGTTGCTCAATATCATCATCCAATTGACCGTTTTTCTTTTTTCTTTTTATTCTTTCTTCTTTTTCTCGTTCAATTCTTTGTTGAATTTTCAACTTTTTTTTTTTTTTCGAAAAAATTATATAAACAAATAAAATATAATATTAATCGTTTTTAAACAACTATTAATAGTTAAATTGTTTTTTGTAATGTATAAAATATACAAGTAAAATTTTTTTTCAATACTTACCTTTCGTTCATCAATAACATTTTTTTGTTTTTTACGAAGATATCTTTTTAACAATGAACTTCTATGTCTAGTTTTTTTACGAACACTATTACTTGATTTATCACGTACATTATTCTTTGCCTCCCTCTATATATAAATTAAAAGTTGTGAGAAATGTTATTAATTCTCTCATATGTTACTTGGGTTTGCATGAATATTTAATTATTAATTAACTACCTCCTCCTCTTCTTTACGTTCTTTTTCTACAATTTCTTTGGAAACTTTATCAACTTTTGCAACAAAATTAGGATCTAATATAATCATTTCGGGTTGAATCTTTACAATTTTTTAAAAATATATACATTATTTTTTAATTAATTATATTGCAGAAAAAACTTTTATGCATTAAATATCTAATTTACCTTATCCAATAAACTATGAACTTCTGATTCTTGTCTTTGTTTTTTTGTTTGAAATGGATTTATTGCCAGACTATCAATATTAGGTTCACCAGAACCTTTAAAAATTAAAATAATAATAATAATACAATCAACGAATTATTAATTTTAATTTCTATCAACAATAGTTATCATTTTCTCATCTTTAATTACCTGGAATAACTATACTCGAGACACCGTTGCAATAACCAAATCCTAGCACATCTTCAAATGGACAGAAATGTACATCTTGTATTTGTGATCCTTCCTGAATATGAGTCATATATGGTGATTTTTGTTTCTCTAGAAAAGCATTTTTCCAAACCTTTTTTTTTTTTGATTAACAATACTTAAATTTAAATCGTCCCTCAAAAAAATAATTCCCCCAACAATCAAAAGTGGAGCAAAAAACTTACATAAATATGAGGTCCCCAACCAACACTTAATAATCCTAATTGTGAAATGGAAAGTGAAGAAGCAGGCGTTCTGCAAAAATATTGTTGTAATGGTTTATAAGTTCTTACATCCCATAATTTCAGTTGCCCATCTAATCCTGATGTTGCCATATATCTATATACAAACAGATTGGTTAATATTCGTATGCACACTAATAAAATACACACATATATATATATATATGCATTGATATAACCTACCTTCCAGTATTATCAACTGCGAGTGATACAACTGGACCCTTATGTGTTAAAATTCTAACTAGTGGTGTTGACATATTAGGTGACCAGAGTGTTACAGTTCCTATTACACACACAAATATATTTATAATAACAATATTATTAAAATAAATCAGTGATTTGACTTATTGGCATGTAAAATTTTTTAAATTTACCATTAGCATGTCCTAAATTTATTATAGCATTCCATGGATTTTGACACATTGCATCACATTTACCAAGTTTTGTTTTCAATTCTGCTACAAGTTTACCAGTTGATGTATCTTGATACTTTAAATATCCTGCATTTCCCTAATGAAGATATAATTTATTATACACACACGCTTATATATATTTGTTTACTATACAAAGTATATGTTGGTCATATATTTACCACAGTAGCTAATAAAAAATGAAATGGAAGGAACTCTAATCTGTTAACTTCAATATGATTCTTAAGTTTATGTAATTCCAATCCATTCTGATCATAAATATAAACATATTTTTTTTGTGCTACTGCAAAATATTGTTCATTATGTAGCCATCTTTTTTTTTCAAAAAATTATTAAATAAAATAATTATAATCAAATGATTAATTAGTTAATATATAATTTATAAAAAAAAAAAATGTTAAAAACACAACATACTTGACATCTCGTACAGTTTCTTTGACATGAAATTCACATTTATATTTCTCAGTTTTCCAACCTTGCCAATCCAATGTCGCTATATGTCCTTTCCTACCTCCCATCAACAAATACCTTTTTATTATTTATAATGAATTTTATAAATATATAATATAAAAATGTAAATAATTGATTAATGTACAACTTATATATAATTTATTTGTCAATTATTTACCTTCCATTGCGTGTATAATCTATTGTATATGGACCAAATGTAGGCAAATTAATATTAAATACCTATATTATTAAAAAAGGTTAACCACAATAATTTTGGGGGACGAATAATTACAAATATACACACACACACCAGTATATGTAAAATATTAACAAATAGCGATAATTAAAAAAATATCTACATCATATAAATTTATTGCAAAATAAAATAATTTCTAATCTATCATGTTTAATACCGTTCAATATGCGAATTCCTTTATATGAAGAATTTCGACTACTACTATTTATGATGTCACCTGGCCTAAATATTAGGCCACAAACCATTAATAACGTTTCCTGGCCTAAATACCAGGTCACAACCATCACTATATTCTACCACCTTCTTTAATGACTGATAATCAGGATATAAAATTTCTTCAAAGCTCCTTTGCCTTCAAGCCCAGTGCTTGATCCATCCTCATTATCCCCTTCTCTTCCCTCGAATTTTCTTACTCTGCAAGACCCAAGGTGATCTGAACCCTCTCCAATATCAACAATCCATCATTTTATCACTACTCTCTTTATCATCCCCTCTATCATTATTCAAAACAGTCTCCAATATATCTAGCGCATCTGATTGGCAGCACTTTAATAATTCAATAATTGTTGACATCTTTTCAGAGGATAATGATAAGTCAAATTTCTTTAATAAGTCATCAATATTTCCATTGATTCTAATAAAAAAAAAAAAAAAATGAAAAGTTCATAAATATTTAAACAATTTCTAACTTTTTTTTAAAGGAAACTAGAATCACAACCATTTTAATTAATAACTAATAATAACACTTACTTGTTTTAATGTTCTCGATTATTTCATTATTTCTTGGCTTGTTTGTATATGGATTTTTTTTTTTTTTGGGACACGAATTTCTTTTTTTTTAATCTATCATTTTTATTTTAGATATATAGTGAATAAAATTTTAGCTGGCGAAAAAGAATGAAGAGAATCCATTTATTTTATAATTTCCAAATTTTTCAAATTTGTAATGATTTATGTTATATGTAATAATAAGAAATAGTCAATCGACCAACTTTTAAAGAAAATAATACAAAAACCACAAGGACAACACCTGAATTTTTTTACAGACTCAGAGATCATTTTCATATTAGGAAGTGATATGCTTAGAGAAAATTTTATATATATATCAGAAAAATTTTATCAGCTATCAATAGCTGATTAACCATTTAAAGGATATATTTTTTTTTTAATTAAAAATCATGTTTCTCTTTAAGGATACATTTTTTTGTTTAAATACTTGGATAAAAGCATTTGATCACACATACATAACAAGTTTTATGTGTATATCCATAATTAGTGTTCTAACCCAAATTTTTTAACTATGGACCCAACATGAACAGGTTAGATTGGTACCAGGGCCAGAAATAAAAATCAATTAATACATGTAGTTTATTTTGCTTATTTGAATTTTAACAATACAAGTGTAAAATAACTAGATTTTACAAACAACAAAAATTAAAAGTTAATCCACTTAGTGATATTATTATCTCTAAGCCGATTTTTCATGCAAATGCATACTTGAATATTTCTTTTTTCAAATGATAATGTCTTTTTGTAATTAGATCACCACCACCTGTAAAGATTCTTTCAACAGATATACTTGTGCCTTATTAAATAATATAATATACTTATTTATTTTTAAAAAATTAAATGTATAATTATATTAAAAAAAGATAACTTGGAATTTCAAGATAGTCATAGAAAGGTTTGAAAAGATGGCTTCATGAACCTATTGTAAATATTGTAAATAATAATTAATGTTGAAAAATAAATATATTAGACATTAATTCATTTGTTACCTTCCACCATTGTAATGGATCTGTTTGAAAATTTACTAAAGGTTCTAAGATACTCTTCTAGTTCATCTTCTTTTTGATTATTATGATAATTGATATCAAATGAAAATGCAAAAAAAAGTATTTTCATTATTATTTGTAATGGCAGACATTAGTAGCAGCATTATTATATTTATCAGTTGGTATTTTTTTGGCATATCAATATATTCCTGCTCCCATTCTTGATTCTCATAATATTTCAACTTGATTCTTAGATCAAAATATGTGTTAATTTGTTATTGTATTTTATGAAATTCTAGAAAGTCGATCATTGCAGTATTTAGAAATTCCATATTAGTCGGACGACATTTCACAGTGACTGATTTTAATATATGATCGACATGGCACGTTTTCTGTACAACGGACTTT